AACCAGGTAGTTCACTCAACGCCAACAGTGCGCCACTGCCCGTAGGCAAGCAGGCACCACCACTGACATTAATAACAATGCGTGGACGCAATCGCAGCCGCCGCATCATTATTCGCCTATGCACACATCCTTCCAGGACTGCGGGCATAGCATTGATACACAAGCGTTGGCAGTAATTCACACCAACGTAGCCGAATCCCTTGGTAGGTAGGGATCCGCGCTTATCGAAATGCACTCGCGAGTGAGCCAGACTTGCTGCCGCCAGCTTACTTGCTGACCCACACGCTATAAACAGGACTGGTCAATCTGGTAAATACGCCACGGAGGCCATGGCCTCGCACCCACTCAACCACAGTAGTAGTAGCACTGGGAGACAAGAGTAGCCCAGGGCTGCCGCACCGCTGATGAGCTAGGCACCACGCCACTGCACCTCCATCCGTAGACAGACCGTTGACACAGATAGCTGGATTACCCGCAGCAACACACACAAACCCGAGTTGAGGAAGCGCACCCACAGGCAGACGCATTGCCTACAACCCGATGAGAGGGTTAGATAGGGAGCTAGCGAGCGAAACACTCGCCGTACTCGCCACCACCGCACAAAAATGCTACGACGACCCTCTCGTAGCCACTGCTACTAATTCACTCCACTCACATGTATACCTTCGGGGAGCGGCCTCCAAGCATTACGTCCCCCAAACCACGTAGCAGCAACAGAAGCACACAACAATGCAGACGTACTGTATTATTGTGGACGTGGGGCGGAGTAAGCGAAACAAGCTTCGACCCGGCAATGGCATAAGCTGGCGCTAGTGAATTATCACAGCAACCGCGAGAAAGCAGTCAACATGAATGCCGTACTTGCATGCGAGGAGTGAGAGAGAGAGAGAGAGACCAGGGCCTCCTCCTCACACGCGCACACACACGTACAAGCTTAAATGATGGCAAGGCACGGCTACACAACTGAACGCAGCGTAGCAACGTGCCTAACCTGCGAAAAGGCTTTCGCGCTGTAGCCTACGCTCTAGCAAGTACTCCAGCACTGCTTAACGCTGTTCTGCATACGCTTGAACTGCACAGGCTTAGAGGGCTGCATAGGCTGGGGGGCGCACTAAACCATCGAGCGCACCACCTACTATATAGTAGAGCGGCTGTTTGTTCCGCATAGAAGAACTTTTTCGTAGTGAAATAAACAGGTAGAACGTGTTGTCCCACGTGGCATCAAATTGCACCGTTAGGTAGAATATGGTGAAATAAACCTATTTCTATGCAGAAAAATAATTTTTAATTTTTATTTTTTTCAGAAAATTGCCATTTATTTCCTATTTTTGCACCAAATTACCATTTCAGCCCCTCTTCCAACCGAATGCCTTGTCTCACATGGCATCAAATTGCACCGTTAGGTAGGAAATGGTGAAATAAACTAAATTCAGTGGAAAATATTTCTTAATAAGTCATTTTAACAGCCGAATCACCCATTCAATTCCCTCCTTTATGCCCACTTTCCAACTACCAGTGGAATACACTATATTTCCACTTCAGCCCAATGGGCTAGTATGAAAGGCGGTGGAGATTAGTGCCAAGTGAAGAGGAATGAACTTACCTAAAGAATACCTTGAATCTGAAAAAAAGTAGAGCAAAGTGGCGAAAAGTATGTGTATTTGAGCAGTATTCGCGCAATTCGACGAAACCCACACCCATAGCTAGCAAATAGAATAATTTTGGCACCAAATAACCTTTCCGCTTGCACACACATACTTTGGAAATGCTAATAATTTAGCTCAAAAAATATACTATGATAATTGTGAATAATTGTATAAATATACACGATACGATGCCCCTCCCCTCCCCTCCCCCTTCCCCCCCTCAATCATTGAGCTCGAAGTTGATTGCGTATGTGAGGCGATTTGCTCGTCGAATTGGTATTCGCCTGCATACCCACAATACCCTCACACCCTCCCTCCCCCACCTATGCGCAAGCAAATACGCATGAATGTGCAACCACTCACCCTCTCAACCAATCATAGCTTGCGTGGGGGAGCAGTTCGGTTCCCCATGATACATTGGAGTAGTAATAGGTCTTTACGCGGTTCGGTGGTTCGATTTGTTCCTTAATTTTTATCAGTTTTTTTCAATTTTTGTATGATTGTTTATCAGTGATTAGCCATTACTTTTAATTGGTTATTAGCCAACCTGTCCTACCTCTTCACGTGAACTATATAACTGTATTGCACCCCCATGTTCTCTTTTCCCCATTGTGATGGATGGTGTTAACGGTTGCTCTCAATCGCGTGAGTGTCCTTCTTCTACCAGTTCTTGTATGGCTTCCAGTGGTTCATTCTCTGCTGGAATCGGCGATTTCGACTCGGATCGTGATTTATTCGCGTCTTCTGCCTCGTTACTATCGGGAGACCCAGTAGTAGTGGGTTCACAATATTCTGTGTCTTCTGGATTCCTTACGCAATCGTTTGGTGCCAACGCTCATCTTTATTCAGCAATTAATCCTCCTCACATGCGACGCTACCATACATTAGTTATTCGCAACTATGGAAAGGTGCCTACACATATTAGTTGCTTATACGTGGAGCACGACAGCCATATGCATGTCGTTTTGCGAGCAGATTATAACGTGGGTCGAAAAGTGAACCGGTTGCTTACCGATTGCTCTGTTTCCCAGGACGAGTTGTTTCGGGTGAAAAACACACTTCAGTTGGTGAGAAACCTGAATTTTCTTTTGCGGTACTTCAAGGCCAGAGGAGAGGTAAAAGAGGTTGGCCTTGAAATGCGGGACGAATGGGAAACCGCCCGTCAAATGCCTCCTATTGAGCCGCCTTCCTCATGTTCGTCGGACAATAGGCGTGCACGAATCCAAACCTCAAGAGAGTTGAAGGGAGAGCATAGGATGCATAAGTACTTCAATCTCCTGGAGGAACTACGGATTCGCCAAGTAAGAACCTTTGACGAAGTTTTTCATAAGTTCAATGTTGATGAAATCACCTTCATGAACTCATCAATCGGTATCCAATGGGGTGAGGTTGCTAGGCAGCAGATACGAACATTGAGTAATGAGCGATTGGCAAAGGAGAAGACCAATCCCTACTTGCAAAATCTCCACGAATTGCCCCATGATTGTCATGTGATGTGTCGTGAAGATATTGAGTTGGGTGTTGGCTGGCTGATAGCGATGCTCAACACAAATTCTATTGATATTGGCGCTCTTCTAGGCGACATTGTTCAAATCATGGACAAAAGAAAGGCCAAAATAAATACACTCTGTTTCCGAGGCCAGACCAACACTGGTAAAACGCTGCTAGCCAATCTATTAACCTCGCATCTTTTGGTAAGACTGCACTTAAAGTACTCATTTCATTTTTTTGTTTTTGCACACAAAACGCTTATCCTCGTCTTGGCGCTTTTTAATAGATTGGAACGGTGTGCCGACGTGGTGATCAGACCGCCTTTCATTTCGACAACTTGCTCAATCGCACAGTTGCCCTGATGGAGGAGCCGAGGATAACAATGGCGCCAATGAATGACTATAAGTGTCTTCTTGGAGGAGACAGGTTTGAAGTTGATGTAAAGTATGGAGCAAGGCGGTTCCTCGCAAGAATGCCTGTCATTGCAACTACAAACAAAGACCTCGGCTCCCTCTTACCTCCAATTGACCGAGCGGCACTCTACTCCCGAGTGAAGCAATATGCTTTGAATGAGCAAATTTCGTCTGAGTTAATATGCGGCACTATTCCCATGTGTCCGGTTACTTTGTGTGCCTGCCACATGGAGTTATTTAGAAAGCATGATTTTTATGGCTGTCCTTCGGTGTCCGTATCCCCTTCGCCCGATGAAGAAGTGATAATTTACGATACCCAATAAAATAAATTTATTTTGTGAAGAATATATTTTTCTGAATGTACAGAATGTCTTGTGCTTGGACTTTAACATAAGGTGGATATGGGAGGTGAGGGAGCAGAAGATCAGTCTGTACCTGGAGAGGAGGGTCTGAAGGGAGACTAGAGAAGCGAAAGCCGTACTAGGGTCAGAAAATAAGCCAGCAAAAATTTCTAATCCAAACATGACGTATAGAAAGCCGTCGACTTTGTTCTTCGCCGGCCATGGAGTGACTTTAATAAATAGACTAGTGGTAACTGAGATGCCGATGGAATTTTCAACAAACAGACGAGTAGTTAATGCTACATTTTCAGAGCCCTTCATAATTAAATACCTGTAGGAGGCCAATAAGCTGACACTAAATCTTTTTGCGCCACTGGGTTGTGAAAGAATGTAAATCAGTCGTATATTACCACCAACGCGATGAAAAGCATCTGAAGGCGTGGTGCCAGCAGATAACAGGCAATCGCTGGGACATGTGCCCGTAAGCATACATCCTGGCTTCTAAATTTACAACAACTGGATTTTTAAGAAGTCAAAGAACAGGAGATTATTTAGCTGAAATTTCTTCGAACAAGGAGAAAAAGCAAACGTGATTGATAGAAAGCACGATAAAGGCAAGATCATTAAAAATTACCAATGGTACATTTTTTGTTCAATCATGTTATATTGGCAGATATTAGAATTCCTTATTGATCACTGTGTCAGGGAAAATAGATCCAATTAAAAGTGCGAAAGCACCGTATTCTTTTTTGGCAAAAACTCTCACGTGTTCATGAACTTCTCGCACCAATCTTATTCCCTCTAATTGCCTTAATATGTGGATGTATGGTATTAGAGACGAGAATTCACGTTTTGGCTGGTTAAGCCAATATGGCTTGATTAAACAGAAAATGTACCATTGGCCATTTTTAATGATCTTGCCTTAATCTTGAAAGATTGGAAGCCTGA